ATTAAAGAGGGCACATTCTGCGTGGAGCACTGGGTGTTATGCACAAACAATGAATCATGGAACACTTCATCAAAAACTAATGGTGTAATGTATGGTGATTAACATAACAATAAAAATTTAAAGTAAAAAAAAGAATTCCTCATATCAGTGAGGTCATATATACATGTCAGGAAAGAGCTATTCTTGATTTGCCTTTTTCTTCTCAGAGTATCTCTCATCTGTGCCATGCTTCCTTTATAAAAGTGCTCCTTTCCTTTCCAAAGATCTCCCCACCTTTTTATTCTGATCATCCCAATCATTTTCTAGCACTTATTACGTATTAATCTTTTTCTGAAATGTATATGTATTTAATTCTAGGGGCCTTGAGTATGCTGAAGAATGATAAGGAGAATTAATATACAAATTATACTGTAGCTGTAATAATCACAAATGAAGTCAGTTTAAGTATATATCTGTTAAGTCACAAACATTTTTTGAGAATCTTCTGCGTGAAAGTCACTGTGCTGGGTGCTAAGGAAGAAAAGACCTATTTATAACTGTGTCTGCCCTTTACATGCCAGAAAAATAAAAGAAAACTAACAGTACAATGGTATATTAAACAGTACAAAGATCAGTAAAGAATTTAGTTCTGAGAGAAGGCTTTTTGAAGAGGTGGGTTTATTAGCTGGACCTTAAAGAATAGCCAGCATTCAGATAGCAAAGTTGGGAGGGGTGGTATTCTAAGAGAGTAGATTCGCATGAGAAATGTCAGAGAGGCAAGAATGCATATGACATACTTAGAGAATAGTGGATCAGGCCATCTGCCTGGAGTGGAAGTTTCCTTTAGCAAAGTAGTAAGATAGGTAGGTCGGCAGGCTCCCACCTAATTACAGAGGGCCTCAAATGTTCAACTTGGGCATTTAGACTTACTCATATAAGTGGTAGAGAGAGCTACTGAACATTTTTGAAAAGGGGAATTATATAATCAAAGGATGTTTAAGAATGAATTGTCTGCATTTTAAGGTTGGATGAATACTGAACTCTGTTTTGACCCTTTTCCCTTCCGTCAGTCTCAGCATGAAGTAGTAAGACCCCAGACTTGAAGGTACACTAGAAATAGAAAAGAGGGAATGGTTCAATAAAACATTTTGAGGGAATATTCCTGAGGACTCCTGTATTCCAATCTTGTATTCCAACCACTTAGAGATCCAAGCTAGAAACCTAGGAGTCATCATGGACTTCTTCTTTCCTTTCACTCCTGCATACCCATCAACTACCATGTCCTTTTCATTTCAACCAGATTTGTACCTTTTTCTTCATCTGCCACTGCCACTGTCTATGCTCAGGTTGGTTGGATTTTTGCTTGATATTTCTGAAAAGCACATCTGATCTTGTCACTGTCCAAGTTAAACTTTTTCTGTGGAGTAGGCTAAAGTCCAGGCTCCCTGACCTAACATAAAAGGACCTTCAGGATCCCCTCCTCTATGCTCACGTCCCCTTCTCTTACCATCCCTGTGTTTGTAAGTGCCAAAGTACTCCATGCACTCTCACACTAGGCATTTGTACATGCAACCCTCTTGACCCACAGCACCCTTCTTTCCTACTCTCCCTTTTTAGGGAGTCTCACTGCCCTCCTGTGGCCTTCGGTGACACCCGTGCTTATTATTTCGGTCGTGGCGGTCACACGGTAGTAGCATTGGTGTAGCACTCTCACTAGACCGTAAGCTCCAAAGTACGTGGCACCCAGCTAGCATTCTGCACATGATTAGAGAATCAAGAAAGTGTGGAGACTAATTGGATGTGGAGAAAATAAGGAAGAGAAAGAAGTTTAAAATGACTTCAGAATTTCAAGCCCAGATAACTAAAGGATGGTGCCACCTTTAACAAAAATCGATGTCCGAAAAGGACTGACTGTGAAAGGAAGATTTTAAATTTGGTTTTTGATATTTTGACTTTGTTATCAGAGTACAGTCACTAAGTGGAAATGTCCAGTAATTAGCTGGACATGAGGGATTCTTAGAGCTTATAGACTTAAAAGGGCATTCAGTTCTTTTTTTTTCAGCCTGGTCCTTCAAAATCTAATTTCAAAAGCCCCCTATCTGGTTGGCCCTGAATATGTCTGCCAACCTGGGCGAACAGCTGTTTTTATTTTATGTGGTGCGTAGTAGTCCAACTGATGGAGTCTCTCCTGGCTAGCTGGTAGGTAGCTCTGGAGTTCTGGGTCTGGATGTCCTATGCTAAACCTGAATGGGCGTTCTCCCTCAAGTGTATTTTGACCTGCGTTGTTCTGTTGACTCTGTGGTATCAGCCCCAGAAGCATTTTACAAAAATAATAAGGTGTTTTGTTGTTGAGCTTTTATGGAGGTGTCCCTTTGACAAAATCAAGAGCATGGAAAAATGCCCTTTTTAAAATATCATTGAAAAGAGAGAACTTGATTCTGGATCTAAATGGCCTTCAGTTCAGGCTGAAATTACCAACTGTTGATATTGTAGACGTTGTTCACAGTAGCCGTCTTCCTAAGCAGTTGTCTCTTACAGGTTGCTGAATGACCATCATGATGATGCCTCCAAGTTTATCTGTCTTCTAGCAAAGCCCAGCTGCAATTCTCTAGAACAGGAGGATTTTATCCCTTTACTTCAGGTAATTTTCACTTCCTTCTAAAAATGGGTTTTATTTTTTAGAGTTGCAGAGGTTTTTAAAATTTTTTCCACTGTAAGATATGTCAGTTGAGATACACAAATCTAGAAGTCAGATTTCTAGAAGAGTGGTTTTCAAGCTCGTTTTAGGAACAAAATCCTTTTGTTAAATGAAAATTAGCACAGAACGCATAGTTTAAAACAGGTAAGACAGGGCTATTCCCACTGCAGCAGAGGAGGGGGCACCACTCAGCCTCCCCCTTGCCCAACCACGGCAAGCACTGAAATACCTTCTGAAACCAGATGTTTGGTCTACTTGGCCTAGATGACCTATCTCCAACAAAAAGAGCCCACTCGAGGAGTATTCATATCTAGGCCTTCCAGTAAGAATCACTTACACGCCAATATTGGATCTGTTTTTACTATAGCATTCTTCATAGTCTGATATATTACTTGTTAATATTCTTAATTTCATGTCTGAATATTTGGTTTTCCTAAGCAGATCACAAATTCCTTGAAGCTGAGGTTTGCCTTTCCTGTCTGTTGAATGCTCATCATTGTTTTAGTTGTTCTAGTAAATCCTTGTTGACTTGTTAGTGAGGATGCCTAAAGAGAGAAAAATAACATTGACATAGTTTTTTGGTTTGGGTTTTGTTTTAGTTGTATTCATGGCTACCATCATTTTTTTTTTGTAATTTTCTTGTTGAAATATAACATATACACGCAGAAAAACACAAGTCATAAGTGTACCCACCAATCAATGAATTTTCACAATGTAAGCACATCTGTGTAACTAGCACCCAGATCAAGAAACAAACCTCACCAGTACCCCCAAAGCTCTTCATGCTCCCTCCCAGTCACTGCCACCATATGGTTACCACTATTCTGTGTCTAATACAATACATAATAACATCCAACATTACATATTCCTGCTTAGGTTTTGTCAAATCACAAATATTCAGTATTTGAACTATATTGTTACTAAAACATTAGGTTTTTGTTGTTGTAAGCTGTGTAATTTTATTTATTTTTTATTTTTATTTATTTTTTTCATTTTAATTCCAGTATAGTTAACATACAGTGTTATATTAGTTTCAGGTGTATAATATAGTGATTCAACAATTGTGTACTCAATGCTCATCACAGTAAGTGTAGACTTAAGTCTCTTTATCTGTTTCACCCATCCCCCACCTATCTCCCCTCTGGCAACCACCAGTTTGTTCTCTGTAGTTAAGTCTCTTTTATTTGTCTCTTTTTTCTTCTCTTTTATATTTTATATATATATATTTTATTTTATTTTAATTTATTATGTTATGGTAGTCTTTTTTTTCTTTGTTCATTTGTTTTGTTTCTTAAACTCCACATAGGAGGGGCGCCAGGGTGGCATAGTTGGTTAAGTGTCCAGCTCTTGGTTTCAGCTTGGGTTGTGATCTTGGGTTGTAGGATCGAGCCCCAACTTGGGCTCCGCATTCAACACAGAGTCTGTTTGGGAATCTCTCTCCCTCTCCCTCTGCATCCCCCACCCCATGCTTTCTAGTATGCACATGCACTCTCTCTCAAAATAATCTTTTTTTAAAAATTCCACATGAGTGAAATCATGTGGTATTTGTCATTCTGTGACTGACTTATTTCACTTAGCAGTATACCCTCTAGGTCCATCCATGTAGTTCCAAATGGCAAGATTTCATTCTTTTTATGGCTGAATAATATTCCATTGTGTGTGTGTGTGTGTGTGTGTGTGTGTATATACATATATATACATATATATGTATACACACACACATATATATATATATATATACCACCTCTTCTTTATCCATTCATCTACTGATGGACACTTGGGCTGCTCCCGTAATTTGGCTATTATAAATAACTCTGCAATAAACATAGGGATGCATATATCTTTTTGAATTAATGTTTTCATATTCTTTGGGTAAATACCCAGTAGTGGAATTACTGGATCATATGATAGTTCTATTTTTAACTTTTTGAGGAACCTCCATATTGTTTTCCACAGTGGCTGCACCAGTTGGCATTCTCACCAACAGTGCACAAGGATTCCCTTTTCTCTACATCCCCACCAACACTTGTTATTGCTTATCTTTTTTATTTTAGCCATTCTGACAGGTGTGAGACAATATCTCACTTAGGTTTTACTTTGCATTTCCCTGATGATTGATGATGTTGAGTGTCTTTTCATGTGTCTTGGCCGTGTGCATGTCTCTTTGGAGAAATGTCTGTTTGAAAACATTAGATTTTAATAGCAGTTCTCTCTCCACCCCTTACCTTTACCCCCTCACTCCATTCTGGCCCTGCTCTGACTCTTACAAACTGCATCTTTTGGGTCCCCTTCCCTGGCTAGCTTCTGGTTGGGTCTGGCCAGTGGATTGTACTGCCAGGAGTAGGCATTTCTTCCCCAGTCTGCTTCAGCAGAGCAACTGTCTCTGTATACTACAGCTTCTGCTGGATGGCCTCTTCTCCATAGTTCGAGTGCCTACCTTGCTCCTATAACTCTATTCCTTGCCTTGTCCCTCTGGCTCTAGAGATTGTAAGGGTATCCTTCTGTTACTTGTTCCTGGTGCCTCACCATAACCTGTGTTTTCCCTTTACCTGCCCATGACTTTACACATAGTCCCTTCATGAAAGGTTCATATGGGTAAATTCTTTTTCCTCTGGGCACCCTATTCCTGACTGAGTTTTATTAGAAGCTTTAATAAAACCACTGACAGGAATATAAATTAAATCCATATCAAAAGAATTACAAACAATAACAAAACTATAATTATGAGTTAGTAGACATTTATATTTCATTTATATAGGAGAAATTCTATTTTTCTTTAACAAGTAGATTTGTGGAGTCTTCAAGTAAAAGTTGACAGAATGAATAGATACATTCTCCTCCCATTCTGTCCCGAACTCCTCTAAAGTGAAAGTATAGGAATTTAAAGGGAATAAACACATGAAAATAAATGGAATGGTAGAGAAGAATGGAAAAAAATTAATGTCAAGTGATTTCCAATTTCTTAAAAATAGAAAGTAGAAGCAGGCTAAGGAAACCACAGCCCAGAATGAGGAGCTATTTATGGGCTACAGTAGAGAAATGAGCTACTCTTCTCTATTCTCTCAGCAGGATCCCAGAGCAGCTGTAAACTCAGGGTTGGCAGTTCTAATGGGAAGTATTAGAAATGAGGATTCATGGAAGGTTGGTATATAGAACAATGGAACAGTTGACTCCCTACTTGGTTTCCAAAAGTAAAGTGCATCCTAGCATTTACTCACAAGCATAAGCAAAATAACAAACAATAAAGCATGCTAAGACAAATTCCAATAGAGAAACATCCTAGATATACCTGGCCAGTAGTCCTCAGAACTATCAGGGTCATCAGAAACAAGGAAAGTTTGCAAAATTGTTACAGCCAAAAGGAGCCTAAGGAGATGTGACAGCTAAATGGAATATGAGATCCTGGAACAGAAAAAAGATATTAGGCAGAAACTAAGTAAATAAAGTATGGTCTCTCATAATAGTATCAATACATAATAATGTATCAATATTGATTTATTAACTGTAACAAATGCTAATGTAATGCAGGGTATATGGGAACTCTATACTGTCTTACCAATTTTTCTTAATTCTAAAAAATTGTCTTTGTAAACAATAGTTACTATATTCAGATGGATTATATAAAATAAGACCAGAATATTATGAAAACAGGAAGCTAATCCAGAAAGAGCTTTACAATTTTAAAATGTGGGGGAGTCCTGGGTGGATCAGTTGGTTAAGCATCCTACTCTTGATCTCAGGGTTGTGAGTTTAAGCCCCACATTGGGCTCCACACCCAGCATGGAGCCTACTTAAAAAAATTTTTTTTAAATGTAAGTACCAAAATTTAAAATTTCATCATAAGGCCTGGAAACTAATGTTTAGGATATCTCACAGGAAAGGAAAGAAAGCCAGAGAGAGGGAGAAGGAGGGAAGGAGGAGACATAGAGGACTAATTCAAGAATTTCAACAACTAACTGGATTCTGGAGAAGAAAGAAGAGAGAGAAGGAAATCATCACAGAAATAATACAGAATGGAGAGAATTCAAGGGACTGGGATGATAAGATGGGTACAAAGAGCTAGAACCTGGTAGGATTCCTTAGGATCCCTGTTTCCCTCCTTGGGGACATGCTTGTGTAACCAGCATATAATAAAAAATATAATTTGAGGGGCCTCTGGGTGTCTTGGTCGGTTAAGCATCTGCCTTCAGCTCAGGTCATGATCCTGGGGTCCCGGGATCGAGTCCCGCATCGGGCTCCCTGCTCAGCAGGGAGTCTGCTTCTCCCTCTCCCCTGCCCCTGCTCATGCTCTCTCTCAAATAAATAAGTAAATAAAAACTTAAAAAAATAGAATTTGACACTCCCACACCAGCCTCTCATGCTCCCTCCAGTCCTGCCCACAGAATTAAAGATATAATACAAAATACAAGTCTTTTGATTGAAAAAACCAAGTACAATGAGTAAAAGAAAGAAACATACATAAACATATCATCTCAAATTTTTAGAAAAACACTGATGAAAACAAGATACTAAAAGCGTCCAGAGAGAAAAACCAAGTCCCTTTTTAGGTTTTTTTTAAAAAAACAGGTCCCTTTAATAAGAACAAAAATTGGGGTGGTATTAGATTCTCATTAGTAACTCCAGGGAAATGGATTTGAAATCAGATTTCCAATATCCTGCCAAGCTATCAGTCAGATATGAGATTAGAATAAAGACATTTAAAAACTCAGAAAGTTGGGGCATCTGGGTGGCTCAGTCATTAAGCATCTGCCTTCAGCTCAGGTCATATCCCAGTGTCCTGGGATCGAGCCCCGCATCGGGCTCCCTGCTCAGTGGAGAGCCTGCTTCTCCCTCTCCCGCTCCCCCTGCTTGTGTTCCCTCTCTCGCTGTCTCTCTCTGTCAAATAAATAAATAAAACCTTAAAAATAAATAAATAAAAACTCAGAAAGTTTATCTCCCTATTT